CGCGTACGATTCTTCGTCGGAAAGAAGTGGCCTGTACGATTCTTCGTCGGAAAGAAGTGGCCTGTACGATTCTTCGTCGGAATATATCTGCGCGTACGATTCTCCGTCAAAAAGAAGCGACGTGTACGATTCTTCGTCGGAAAGAAGTGGCCTGTACGATTCTTCGTCGGAAAGAAGTGGCCTGTACGATTCTTCGCTGGAATATATCTGCGCGTACGATTCTTCGTTGGATATTTTGAGGAGTACGATTCTTCGTAGGAGCCGTCGATATAGTCCCTATATACATTATATCGGCATAACTGTAACGGGACTTGTGTGTGTTATACGTTTCAACGCTCAGTTGGACGCTCCGAGCTACAAAATATGCATGTGCGTATAATATAATGCATATTGTTGTGGGGATGCATGTGTAACATGTGATGAATGTGGGCCGGGAAATCATTCGCCCCTTATTGTACCCTGTACCGATCAAAATACTTATATAGCTGCAGATCTGGTGTTTGTGGTCCGCCAGTGCAGCGAAACAAAGCGTGTTGGCATTATGTACCTATACATATATATATATACGTGCAGAGCGAGAGGTGTAATATACGAACAAAAAAAAATTACGACGTTTTGCTCAAAGATTTCAAGGTTTTACACAATTTTCGGGATTTTATGCAGTACTATCTCGAATGTTTTTTTTTTCCTCCAATGTGCCAAGATTCTCTTGCAAGTCATATACGTCACTCTACGTTGCCATGCGTGTAATAAATATGTCCTGTAATTATGCTTTGGTGATAAGTCCATCACTCGCACCTTGTAATTATGCAAAAATACTTTTTTTCATCACTTCATCCTCTTGTCCGAAATGAAAAAAAAATCCCTGTTGGAATTACTGCAGTTTGTCAAGACGACATGCAAGTTTAAACAACAAAAATAAATAGATGTTCTAGAGCAATATTTCTTGGACAGAATTTCTCCAATGCCTCGAAATCAGAGACTATAGAAATTCAACGTCAGTCAGATCTGATGATGGAAAACGACTTATTGCATCTATGAACCGCTATACAAGTATCCAGAGTCCAAAATTGTCACATTCTCGTGTTAAATTTGAAATAAAATGAAAAAAAAAAATATTCGCAAACTTTTCATCTTTCCCCTCGTAGGGGGTAAAAGAGAATTGCAAAAATCGGAATCCCCAGAAGGGAGTTGTTGAAGAAACAAAACAAAGCACATCAGCCAAACGATTGCGGGATGATTGGAAATTTTTTTTTTCCTTCCCCCACGCCAAATGTATTCAGATCGCGGAAAATCGATCGATCGCGGCGACTCAAACTCTCGCCCGCAACGCTGGAGAGCCACGCGGTACCAACGTACACGAAACGTACACGGTGTACCTACATATATTATTTATTATAGTTATACCATATATATATATTAAAATCCCAAGAGCAGCTAGAGATATGTATACTTGTATATGCACCTATACGGTATGGAGCCCCGAGAGGAAAGTGTATCGAGGTCTTCTGGTTTACGGAGGTAAAGAGAGGGACAAGTTGGGGAAAAACGTTAAGGAAAGGTGAACGTACTTGGCGACACAAGGCCTGTGCGGGGTACATATTATATATACCTATATGGTGTAGGTATACCTACGGGCGCGAGGAAAGTTGCCCAACGACGCGACTGTACGAGAAAATGTCGCTCTAACTGGTATCTCTTTCTTTCTCTTGTTTTTCTCTCCTCTCCTCCGCTCGAAACATATATACCCCCGCAGTCTACGTGTGCATCACTTGTGGATTTGCGGGCGGCGCTACCGATTTTTTTTTTCCCCCTTTTCACGCCGATCGACAAGTTTGACCATCTATCCTCCTCTCGCGACCGGAAAAACACACGCGTTTACGCACGAAAGTTCACTCGGACGTGCCTACAAACACATGGCGCCATCGGTATAACTTTTCCTTCCGATTCGCCGCGAGTATAGATCGCGAGACTATAGATCTCCAGCCTTATTGTGCTAATTTTTTTTTTTTTTTTTTACGCGCAAGTACATCAGACCGAGATGAGTATATTATACCCCCGGGCTCGGAGCGCGCGAAAAATCGAGCAGGCGGGATATGTATGTATATACCTATGGTGCTCCAAGTAACGGGTCCGAGTCTGCAGATGCTCCCGCTGTAGAGGATCGAGCGAGCCTATAATAATATTATACACTCTCCTTTCCCTCCGGTTCCACCTATCCTGTCGGTCGTGTGATTCCGATAAAAAAGCCCTTTTTTTCACACATTCATGTGTATTCGGATTTGACTGCCTGTTGTTTTTTTTTTTTTTTTTTTTTTCTCTTCGATTCATGAAATAAAATGAATTTCGGATAACACGTTGTTTCGGCTACGATGCTCGTACATGTACTTTTATTGATCATATACATCGTTGTGCCAAACTCAATTGAGGAACCAAACCCCCTACAAATGGTGTATAATTGCCCCACTTACCTGGCTTTTGCTCATATTTATGTAGCTCGTTAATTACACGGGCATCGGTGCAAATGCTTCCGTGTACTTGCCAACTTGCGCGTTCTCCGATCATTAGAGCGGCTCCCGAAACTTGGGTAAACTACATGGAAATCGGCTTCTCCTCTAAACTTTGATTTGAAAACTCCAGCGCTGCGCGTATAGGTGTATAACAGATGCGAACTTGCAGCAACAAAAGCCGTTCTAACGAGTTCCGTATATGAGTACATACAATCTACCGTACGTATAAAAGATGCGGTGTGTTTTTCGTCTTCGCGATAACTCACGCCCCCGAGCGTAAGCCATGTACTATCTCTAATTCTCCGGGATGAAATCATAAACGCGCGTATGGTATACCATTAAATTTATACAACACATGTTTGGTACACAGCAAATTTAAAATACGCGTGTCCTATGCACTCCATTGGACCAAAGTCGCGTGGTAAATAATTTTCAGCAGCTTTTAAACGCGCGCTCGAGTTTTGTTCTGGCATTTGTTTGTTCCACCCGATGTGTATACAGTTACATGCGGGCGCTCTCGCGTGTATACGCAAAGGTGTTGATACATACCATACAGTACAAGAGCCCTCTGGCTCTCAAGACCACCTAAGATTACAGGCGCACAACCTGGTGGGTACACCTATATATTATATACCTGTGGTGTTCCTCTCTCGCGAGAGATTACATTTCGTAAAGGAGACGCGTGTAACGTAAGATAATAGTCTCTCCTCTGTGAACGTTTTTTTTTTTTTTTTTTCTTGTAGTCATGAGTGAAAAAAGTTACCTACCACTATACGGTGTACTCCGATGCGTAAGCCGATATTTCGATTTATTATATTGAGCGCGGCTAAAAGAGCGTTTCGATCCTGACTGTCACTTTTTCATTGTTACCCGAGCTTTTTTTCTCATTTACCAATGTGATTGAAAAGTTTCTCTTAATTCGACTGTACTCTCACGCCCCATCTTCTCGACTGATCAAAGAGAAGCAAAAAAAAAAAAAAAAAAATTAACAATTTCGTTGCGATACAGAGATGTTTAGTTGTTATTAAATTTTTTTTTTTTTTTCATCTCAGTTTTAAGTATACCTCGTATGTAGGTGTGGCTTTTTACATTTTCAAAATAAAACGGCGATCGGAGACCTAAACTTTTACACAACGATATAAATCGAAATGACCGAATTGCAATAATTTTGCTAATAAAACATAAATTCCGTACAACTTAGCCTCCGGAAAATATTAGCGAGTACGAGCCTTAATATCGTGCACAAACGCATAAAATTAACCACAATTCGCAAGTATAAGCTTGCAGTGGTGCTCTCGTTCTGCAAGCCAAGTGAGCTTTTCATTTTACAATAAGACCATCATGCCTGTTTATAGATAATATGACTCGAGTACTCGTTTTTTTTTTTTTTTTATCTTTACTGTAAATCCATTCATGATGACATGATACACGTTTAAAAAGTGAAACCTATTGTTTAAAATAAAGTTCTTTGAGCCAATCGAAAAATGATTAAATTGTCGATATTACACGCACGATTTGCCTGTGTCAAGTACTCACGAGTATTGCCTATTCCAGATTTTGTCCAAGCCCAACGCGCTTGGAGATTACAAAAGCGATGATTATTCTCCATAAAAATAACAACGATGCAAAATTCACGAAAAGGGAGGAAAGAGCAGCTCCCACGCGCCCGCGGGCACGCGAAGAGATGAAAAGGCAAACCCAGAAGCAAAAATGTTTTTTTTTTTTTTTTTTTTTTTTTTTTTTTTTCTTCATCGCGAGCGTAAAAAAAGCTGCAGTGTGTATACCTGCCTACCCTGTACTGCTGTCGACGGCGTACAATATGTAAACCCTTGGCTAGTAGCGTAAGTAGTAATGGACCCTTCCCTGCAACGCATGCATGCACGCCCTCTCCTCTTCCTTATCCCTGCAGCAGCCGTATATAGGTATATTATACAGGTAGATTAGCCGCCAGCTGAGTATAATCCAACTAAACTCTTTCTTCTCCCTCTCTCTCTCTCTCTCTGCTTTCCCCCAGCACATATAATATTTTGGCGAGCTCTCCTATGCCCATACATCACACCATTTGTATTGACATCCAATTGAATATCGTTATTATCATACTTGCTTCAAATGTATAGTGTGTACATAAATTTATTATCTATTTATTTATGTGTGTGTTTACAGGCATGTCCTCCATCGTCTTATATAGACCGACAGGCAAAGGAAAGCGTCAACTCACGCAGTTGATCGGCTGCGACCCGACCACTACCTCGTGGCCCATGTGTTAGGTGTATATTATATACCTGGCTGTACCTATACGTGCACTTGCAAGGAAATCATCATCGGCATCACAGTATATACCACCGCGGCAGAACAAAGTTCATGGATAATAAGCATTGACTGCGCGCTCCTGCCGGTACTTGGTATATATAGAGTCCATCGCGTTGCCGTGGCAGACCCAAGGACGCAAACACTGCACGGCACAAAGTGTGTGTTTATGTGTGTACATCGTATTGTAGCTAGCTGTGTCTATAAACATAAGAGCTAGTAAGTATATATAAGCACAGCTGCTGGTAAGGATACAATTAAGAGTTTGCGAGAGAGCCATCACCGGCAGCATGAAGACTCAGAGGGCCGTGAGGTGAGTTTTTCCTTTTTTTTCTTTCTTTCTCTCGGTGTCGCTTTCGTTCGGGGCGTTATCGGTGGACCTCCACTGATCTCAAAGATAGCGTTATTCCATTTGCATAGCCGATGCTCTATCACCTATAAACACCTGATACTTGCGCTTTCCCGTGGGCAAATTTTATTTCGTTACGGTTAAATTGCTTTTCGACGCTGTTGCGATAACTAAACGCAAAACTAGGAATAACATACTTATTTACCCCATATTATTTTGTACAAAGTATAGCAAAGAAATCACAACACAAAGGTACCTATACTTATCTCATCTCTTTTATTATCATCATGATGTCCCTCTCTTGTACATATATATATATATATATATATATATATACACGCTAATAGCACAGAGTTTATTTCCAAACTGGTAGCTTTTGTGGACTATCATGTTTGGTTGCGCGTATCAGATGGCATGTCAATGTAAACACACTGTCAAACAAGCCTTTAGTGGATGCACTCCTTTTTTTACTAATTCATTGGTAGTATACCTATACCTACTTACTTGATAAAAAAAAAAAAAAAAAAAAAAAAAAAAAAAAAAAAAAAAAAAAAAAAAAAAAAANCAATCGGATGCGGTGAGCGCGATACCTACTCGTATTTTGTGCACGATATGGAATGTAAATGTATAAATAGGGCAAACTACGAGGCGAGTCTTTTTTTTTTTTTTTTTTTTTTTTTTTTTGTTTCGAAAAAAAAAAAAAAAAAAAAAAAAAAAAAAATACTACTCTTCTCCACTAGAGCGTTTTTACACTTTTCAATTAACGATCCATTGTTTTCGCTGCAATTATTCAATTAGCCCCGAAAAAATAATGCATCTCGCAAACGCGAAAATACGAAGCTGTCTTTGTTTTTCGCGCGATTATTAAACTTCTGCCGAGTAATTAAACGATCATTAATTCAATCGAATTATAGACTTTTCCTGCGCGTATACATATATATACCATATGGCGTATACAGATGCACGCACACGTTTTATATATGTATAAGCACGTATACACACTTTAATGAACGGCAGCTCGTGAAAGTAGAGCGGAGTATTTTAAATGATTAATAAGGCGGGCGATTTTAATTAATCTTCATTAGAGGAATAAAACTTGCTCACGCGCGTGTGTATATACGCAAAAAAAAAAAAAAAAAAAAAAAAAAAATCCCACTAAATCACGTCACCCCGCATACGTTGTACAGGTATATTATGTTTTCATGTATCCAGGAAATCCCAAACTTTGCACGAACAATCATATACCTTCGATGGAATTTAGGATGGAAATAAATAATAAATTAAGCGTGAACGTGTATAAAAGCCAAACTGGATTACAAAAAAAAAAAAATACAATAATGCCGTAACCCGATTTTACACTGTACACAATGCACATCGAGCGGATAAGCGTTTCATGCGTTTGCGCGCCAGATTTCTTTCTTGTGTTTCATTTTTTTATTCAAAGCCAAACGAGATTACTCCGAAATGCCGTGCAGACTGCACCAAAAGAACGCGTCGGGGGGCTCTCTTGTGAGTATATATATATACGTGTATGAAAAAGATCGAGCAACTTTCCACTCCGTCTCCGCGACGATTTTCATCCTCGGCTTTTTATCCATCTACCATCGGGGCATTCCATAGCTATATCTATATACATGTGTATACAAACTCTTTCTCTGTTGAACAGCAGCGTATAGATATAACATATACATACATATAGAGTACTTGTATAGAGTGCATGCATTCACGCGCGCGTTTGAAAGCTTCGGCGTCGTGTGAGCAGCACGAAAAGCCCAGCCATCAGAGACCGGCGCTCCAAATATTATGGTACCCCCCACTCCCCGGGCCCCTCTTTCGTTTTCTTTGTTTTCCACCGCACACGGGAAATAATATATATATATATATATGTATTGTTCATCCGTGTCGTAACCAGCCAACATCGCGTGCATTGTGTTGTTATATCCAGTGTATAATTATAGGCAATACAGCGAGTAATCTCTTTTTTATCGGAGCACGTATACATATATAGGCTGCGTCGGGTAGAAGCGCCCCCTAATTAAACGAGGAGCAAGCTTATGATTAATACGAAACCCCAGAAGAAGAAGCGCCATTGTCGACTCTTCGTTCGTATGTATTATGTCCGTTTAAGTCGTTATTGTCAGTCAAATCACTCTTGCCATCATCCATCACCTGTTATATATATGTAGGTTTTCCCCCGTTTGAGCGCCGCTATGCGCTATGCGCGAAAAAAAAAAGTCGTTCGATTGATTGCGGTCTAACTTCAGCCGACGTTCGTCTCTCTCCCTCTTTTTCCTACAGGTGTACATAGATGCATAGTACATGTACCTTCTTCTTCCACCTCTGCGTAACAGCTGATGGACCTCGGAAAAATATATGAGAAAACTCGAGAGCCCTGTACCCACTCTCTGTATGATATGGCTCTTGTACTCGCAACTGCATGCACGCAGATAGATGCAAAAAGGCTTTTCGCAACTTCAGAAGGAAAGTCGGACCAAGTTTCACGTTACCCTAGTGTGTGTACAGGATATTTACCTATATATATATATATGCTCGTAAAAAGCGGCTATTGGTACACGTATATGTACATCGGATCCATCGCGTGTATGAAATTTCAGCTTATACTATAGCTCGCTCTATTTTTTTTCCTTTCTTTTTCTTCAATTTCTCCAATTGGGTCATTGAGCAATCGATACGTCAAGTAGGTACTACTCATGAAAATGTTGAACATCTCCAACGAATTACCTGACACGTGCCGAGCTATGGATATACGCAGATTCCATTTTACTTTTTTAGCTGATCAATTATCGATTTCACGATTATGCTGATATTACTTGGACCCTGTAGGTGTATACGTGCAGAGACGAAACAATATTGTCTAATTTATTCAGCAAAGTGTCCTAGAACTTAAATTAATCGAAGAGACAAATGAGTCGGTGCGCGAATGGCTTCTTTTGATTTGCTTAATGAATCGATTCAAACAATACAACGAAAGTGCGAGTAAAGCAACGCGAGTCGCAAAAAACACTGAATAATTATATGTTACGAGCACAATTAATTTTCAACTTTAGCTGTACGCGCGAATGAATACATAAGTGTACGAGTGTAGGTGCAATAATCTTGCGAATAGCAAAAAAGTGGGTAAGTACGGAGCCGCTGAATTTTCGAGCCTCGAACTTTTTCAATGAAATTCCGACTACGGGCAGTAGACCGCCCCACCCCCCTTCCGCGGCTAAAGTGGGAAAACAAAGAGTCGCTCTCACTCGCCGACGACCAAGTTTTTCCTTCGGTAATTAAATTTCGCAGCCTCGTTCCCGCATCGATTCTCCCTTGCCCTACAAATAAAATGGCTGATGTCGAATCGCTAGTCACATTCATCCCTTGATCGACCATATGTGCAATTTTTTTTTTTTTTTTTTTTCATGTCCACCTACAATTGTCTTTTTTTCGGACAGCTGAGCGCCGTTAAACTCAATATAACCACCAATGAATACGCAATACGATCTCGTCTGTAACGGGAAAAATTTCATGGCGTGGTGATGATAAAAACATAAAAATTGACGATAAATTTCACTCTCTCCAATCACCCCGGCACAAAAATTAATCCCCCTTGTCACCACCACCTACTGTACCGCGTGTGCGGAATACGAATGTGCAGGAAGAGAGAGAGAGGGAGATGCTTATATATAGGTGCAAATACATACATGTAGAAAAAAAGGTGTGCAACCGCATTCACTATTCTGCAACGTGCACCTATAGATACCTGCACATCCAGCCTTGACATACTCTGTAATATATATACACGTATACATCAGAGCGCCGCTGCACAAAAGCTTCACCCTGTGGAGCCTCGCTATAATCCTAACTTCTCTCTCCTCGAATCCCCTTACTAGACGCTGTAACTTGCTGTTTCTGAATTTTCTCCGTTTGACCCGACATATGTGTTCAATATAATTCTCGTCATCCCTTGGGTACCGTTCCAAGACAAGTTTACCGGCCCAAGGGGCCCAAAATAACTTACAGGTGCATTTGCTTCCTTGTTGAAGATCAAAAAAACCTTTCTGATATCCCACCGGTATACCTATACGTGTTGATTTAACGTTAAATAGTCACGCGAGAGTGGGTACAGTTTTTTTTTTTTTTTTTTTGCTTCAAAGAGTGCGACCGTGCCCTACTCTCTTTATTTTCGTCAAATCCTTCTTAGCCAACCGTGAGCCACTTTTTTCCCCCCCCAACCAGTTAATTATACACCGCGTGGTATCAATACTCCACTAACTTGAATTTGCACCGAAAATTCACCGCGACAATCACAATCGGATGAACAATCCTCGTTTTTCTTACTTTACTTTTACCAACACAACTCCCGTTGTTTGACTTGCTCACCTATTATATTTCAACTTTTGTAATGAAAAAAAGTTTGGCTCGAAGAAATTGATGCTCGAGCGAAAAAAAAAAAAAAAGTAAAACAAGGCAAGGTCCCCTCGGTGGTAAGAACAGAGGGTGGCACGTGCGGGTACAATACGCGAGCCACGGGGTATAGCCACCACACGCGCTCTCTCGGCCAAACGACTTGCGGTCGGTCGCTGTATATATATACGTATACATCACTGTCCTCTTCCGTTTCGATACCTTTTTTTTTCCCCTCTGTCCGGCGTTGTATACGCACGAATGTGACATAGGTATATATCTGCTCCGGCATCGATCGCAAAATCAGCTAAACTGCTCTTGCACCGGGACTGGTGATGCTCAAAAAGAGGAGGAGGAAGCGGAGAACACCTACAAGAGGAAGGGGCTACTGCGCTTGCGGGTCTTCGCGTCTGCTGCCGATGCATAACACATACATTATTATATATAGGTATAGCCGTCGCGCGGTGGCGGCATATCCGGCTGATGCTATATACATACGTATTTATCGCCGCGAAAGGAGAGTCGGAAGGAAGAGTCGGCGCGTCACATCCTCGACCGCC